TATAAGCATGTTAGATACTTGAGATTCTTTTGTTTGAATTGCTTCTCTCAAGGCTTTCTTAAGCTCCTCGCAATAAGTTTCTAAGTACTCCATTTTGTGCTTTAACTCTCCATTTCCGCAACTTCCATCAAGGCTGCCTCTCTGCTTTCATTTGCTACCGCGAGTTCTTTCCTCAACGTTTCAACAGAAACCACCCCGATATGATCCTTACAAATCTGAGAGACCTCCTCAGCCTCTCTCCGATATGGTGAATTCTCATTCTTGTTTTTCTTCTTTAACTTAGGGAACAACCACGACAAGTTCATTCCTTTACTCTTTTGCTGCAATTGATTTAAAGAGTGTGAATTTGTCAATGGCACGATTACATTAGACGTTTTCCCACTTCTGCTAGCACCATCTGTCTCAGCACTTACTATAGCAGGTTTACATGATCTATTGTAAGACGAAAATGATCTCAAGTCACCCAAAGAGCTTCTTCTAGAGTTAGAGTAATCACCACCAGGAGAGTTTCTAAGCAGAGTGATATGACCAGTAGAAGAGCCGGTGACCAATCTCTGATCATCAGTTGGACAGTTATGACATTCCGATTTGATCATATTCGATGAAATTCCTTTCCTTAAGGAGGAATTCGCCTTTCTGTCATTCGATAGACTAACTTCATCACAATTTGTTACTCCACCAAGACCATTATCATCCCAAAGATCAGCATAGTCTCGATCATCGAGGTGTAGTTGTTTAGATCCAGGTAATGGAGCATCTTCATAACTCTGCATACATTTCAAACTAGGTGAATCAGTATAACCTAAAATGTAAAAAATGAACAAAAAGCATAACAATCTGAGAGTCACAAAAACTTACTTTCAAATCAGTACTTTTTTCTTTTTTATTTGGTTATATCACCTAGTGTTTAGTACACAAATTGGAGTCCCTATTAATTCGTATTCGCATCACATAAGATCAGAAGCGGATTCGGAATTTTCATAAGGGATTTAAAATTTGTAGAAATAGACATATGAAGTAGTCCAGTGTGTTCGACATCTATTATCGATACGTGATAATTAATTTTGTAATGTATAAAAATAATGTAATTTTTCGTTGAAGGGAGTTTGAATGAACCCCTTTTATACAAGGTAGCTCCACCCCTTCATAAGACCTATTTACTCCCTAACAAGATTTTTCTCACACCCAAAGCTTAACTTCAATTAGCATGGAGGGACCCGATCCATCCCACGACAACCTTGTTGATTGCTTTCATAAATATAAACAAATAAAATAGGAATAGTAACAAATTTAGAAAGGGTGATAATTGTTCAAAATCGTATAAGAAAGAGTTCAAATTCCCATAGTGTAACACAATACAAAGAGTAATATATTTCTTTAAAGATCTATCTCCATATCTCATAAATTATCGAAATATTCATAAAGAAATCAAGATATATCCGACTCTTCTTCACAAATCACAAGCAAATAAATACTTCAAAAAAAAAATCCAAATCATTCTCCATTTTAGAAATACTCTACTATCAACACTCAAATTAACCCGCACTATAATTAATAAAATATTCTTATTCTATTTGTGATTAAATTTATTTCCATAAAAGCAAGGATACTAAAAAAATTGAATATTGGACCTAGTAGAATGTAAAAATAAAAAATAAAAAAATCCAAATTCCCTCCTATGACTAAAAAAAGAACCAATATTTTTATGAGAATAGAATCTTAAAAAAAAAACTAAATTTATAAAATTCAAGAATTGAACCAATAATACAAAAAATAGAGTGATTAAAAATAAGAAGAGAACTTACTGGTGTAAAAATAGGATAATCTTGAGCAGAAAAGAGATTAGCAGCAGGGGAAGAAGAAGAAGAAGAATGAGGAGGACACTTGATAAAATTAGCAGGGCTATTATTATTATTATTAATACCCTGTAATAAAGAGGCATGAATAGCTCTAAGTTCTACAGCTTTAGCAATGGCAGCTTGAACTTCTTGTCTACTAATTACTCCATTATATTCATCATCATCGTTTTCTTCAAAATTTGTACTTGCACCCGCCATAATTTAATGAAAGAAAAAATATACAATTACAAAAGCACATTCAACAAGTGAAATTAATTATGTACATATTTTCTGAAGAGAAATAAATATAATATGCAACACAAGAATAGAGATAGGGACAATAGAGAAGAGAGAATGGTGGGGGTGGGGGTGTAGTGAAGTGGTGGGTGGTGTCTTAAAAGTTTAATTTATTCACAGTGAGTGATTCTATAAAAAGATGTTAAACCATCGCATCATCCAAAATATATTTATAGTTAATTCATAAAAAAAAAAGTGAATATACACTTTTCGTTTTAATTTATTTGACTTATCTTATATTTTTTTTAAAAAAAATAACGCTTTATCATTTTAGCAATTATTTAATGTTAATTTTTCACCTTATATGTTTAAAATCACAAAGTTATTTTAGTGCATTCAATATATTTTTACTTTAAAATTACATAATTCAAAAGTTTTTCTTAAAAAGAAAAATATATGTCATGTTAAAATAAGTTGAATAAATTAAAATAAGAGTTATTTTTAAAACGAGATAAAATTCCTATTACAACGAATAAAATAAATCTGATCTTAGGTAAATAAAACAACTTATACATTTAGGCTGGTTTTTTAGTTGTTATAAGTTATGCAACATTAATTACGAGATAAAAAGGATATTTATGTTTTATTTTATGTAGATATTATTAATCATACAATGATTATTTATTTATATATTAGTTATTATACTTTTTATTATATACATAAAATAGTATTTAGTGTATGTGTATTAGTTATATGAGTTTTTAAATGATACAAATCAAATTATAACAATTTTATACCTAATTAACTATCAAACGTAATACTCTCTCTATTTCAATTTATGTGACTTATTATCTTTTCTAGTCAGTTTCAAAAAGAATTACACATTTATATATTAAGTATTAATTTAACTATAAATATCTATTTTATCCTTAAAAGAAATGATGTAAAATCATATAATTTTTTTATTTTTCATTTTGAATCATAAAATTTTTAAATCTTTCTTTTTTTCTTAAACTACATATCGAATTAAACTATCTTATATAATATAAAATAAAAATTACTTATACATAATTTAGTACATATATAACTCATTTTCAAACTAAATGTCGAACCACTCTAATATTATTGTTGAGGGCAGGGGCGGGAGTAAAATGGTTAATTTTTCTCTAAGCGGAATCAGAAGGATGTTCAATTACCCAATAGGGCATTATCTTAATTTTGTGTGGGTCAATTTAATATTTGCTCACTCCATAATAATTATGTGCATAATAATTTTGTCCAATTTTTTATTGATGCATATATTAAGAAAATAATTATTGATATAGTGAGGTTATTATTTTATCTCTATCAATTATAAAATGAATGAATTAAAAAACTTAATATTTTTAAAACATTATTTATTTCAAAGTAATTAATTGAGAATATAATAGGCAAAAAAAATTAAATTTTCTTAATTTGTCAAAATAGACAACTATAAAAATATAGACAGATAATTAGAGAAATAGAATATATGAGAGTCCATTGTAATAAGTTTCACATTTCCTTCGTTTCACAAAGAATAATCTAGTTTGATTTGATACGGAATTTAAAAAAATAAAAAAGATTTTTGATCATGTGATCTAAATTAAAGTTATGTCAAATGTATAAAATTGCTTTTTAATCTTATGATCTTAAACATGTCACTTGAAAAATTATTTTTTAAAAAATCATTCTTTTTGCAACACTAAAAAATAAAAAAGATTTTTTTTTTTAAACGAAAAAAATACTTATTTGTGGTGCAAATTTCATATAGAAACCTACAAAACAAGAGCGAAAAAAACAAGAATGAAAAGATAAGGAAATATTCCCCTCCCCACAAACATACTTTTTCTTGAACTAATGAAATTGATGATAAATGATAATAGTGAAGAATGATTGATATTGACCTCAAAAAAATTGATGGGAGGCGGAGAAACTAATCAAAGCTTAGGGCATCTTTAATCCAAATATTAAATATTGTATTAAATTTTGTGTTAATATTATTTTGGTGTAAATCAACTTCAATTTATAATATCAGATTTTATACTAAGAAAGAAAATTTTATATTATTATTTTTTATTTTTATTTATATATTTTTATTTCATAAATAATTTTTTTCTAAAATATTCACCATATATAATTTATGTTTTTTTTATAATTGTTTAATATAAAATTATTTTATAACATAATTTAATATTTCAATTTTGACTTATGTCACTAACTACTTTATTGAATGTTTATTATTGTCTATTATTTTTACGTACATTATATTATTTGTTTATAATTTATAAGTTTTCATTTTTAATTTTGTGGAGGTTAATTGTAGTTATATCCAATTATAATTTATTGTAGAATTAAAATAAATTATATTTTTAAAATAAGATATATATAGAGTAATTAATATACAACATATTTAATTAAAATATTATATTTTAATGTTTAACTAAAAGTTTTGTATAGTGATATAATATTAAAATATTTAATAACGTGACTTTGTGTGACGAATAGTGTGTAACACTAAATAAAAATAATATCCTATACACATTTAAGGTTATATATATCGAATTATAAACATACTTTTTAAAAATAAATTAC